TGGATCTCCTTGCAGTCCAAGGGACTCTCAAGAGTCTTCTCCAACACCACAGTTCAAAAGCATCAATTCTTCCACACTCAGCTTTCTTTATAGTCCAACTCTCACATCCATACATGACTACTGGAAAAACCATAGCTTTGACTAGACAGACCTTTGTTGGCAAAGTAATGCCTCTGCTTTTTAATATGCTGTCTAGGTTGGTCATAACTTTTCTTCCAAGGAGCATGCGTCTTTTAATTTCATGGCTGCAGTAACCATCTGCAGTGATTGTGGAGCCCCCAAAAATAAAGTCTGTCACTGTTTGCACTGTTTCTCCATCTATTTGCCATGAAGTGATGGAGTGCAGCACTGTGAAAGTGCTGCACTCAATATGCCAGCAAATTTGGAAAACTCAGCAGTGGCCACAGGACTGGAAAAGGTCAGTTTTCATTCCAGTCCCTTAGAAAGGCAATGCCAAAGAATGCTTAAACTACTGCACAATTGCACTCATCTCACATGCTAGCAAAGTAATGCTCAAAATTCTCCAAGCCAGGCTTCAACATGTGAACTGTGAACTTCCAGATGTTCAAGCTGGTTTTAGAAAAGGTGGAGGAAAAAAGAAAAGAAAAGGCAGAGGAACCAAAGATTAAATTGCCAACATCCGCTGGATCATCGAAAAAGCAAGAGAGTTCCAGAAAAGTATCTATTTCTGCTTTAATTTCTGCTTTATTGACTATGCCAAAGCCCTTGACTGTGTGGATCACAATAAACTGTGGAAAATTCTGAAAGAGATGAGAATAGCAGACCACCTGACCTTCCTCTTGAGAAATCTGTATTCAGGTCAGGAAGCAACAGTTAGAATTGGACATGGAACAACAGACTGGTTCCAGATAGGAAAAGGAGTACGTCAAGGCTATATATTGTCACCATGCTTATTTAACTTATATGCAGAGTACATCATGAGAAACACTGGGCTGGATGAAGCACAAGCTGGAATCAAGATTGCTGGGAGAAATATCAATAACCTCAGATATGAAGATGACACCACCCTTATGGCAGAAAGTGAAGAACTGAAGAGCCTCCTGATGAAAGTGAAAAAGGAGAGTGAAAAGGTTGGCTTAAAGCTCAACATTCAGAAAACAAAGATCATGGCATCCAGTCCCACTTCGTGGCAAATAGATGGAGAAACAGTGGAAACAGTGGCAGACTTTCTTCTTTGGGGCTCCAAAATCACTGCAAATGGTGACTGCAGTCATGAAATAAAAAGATGCTTACTCCTTGGAAGAAAAGTTACAACCAACCTAGACAGCTATTAAAAAGCAGAGACATTACTTTGCCAACAAAGGTCTGTCTAGTCAAGGCTATGGTTTTTCCAGTAGTCATATATGGATATGAGAGTTAAACTATAAAGAAAGCTGAGCGCCAAAGAGTTGATTCTTTTGAACTGTGGTGTTGGAGAAGACTCTTGAGAGTCCCCTGGACTGCAAGGAGATCCAACCAGTCCATCCTAAAGAAAATCAGTCCTGAATGTTCATTGGAAGAATTGATGTTGAAGCTGAAACTCCAATACTTTAGCCACCTGGTGCAAAGAGCTGACTCTTTTAAAAAGACCCTGATGCTGGGAAAGATTGAAGGTGAGAGGAGAAGGGGATGACAGAGGATGAGATGGTTGGATGGCATCACCGACTCAAAGGACACGAGTTTGAGTAAACTCCGGGAGTTGGTGAGGGACAGGGAGGCCTGGCGTGCTGTGGTTCATGGGGTCTCAAAGAGTAGGACACAATGAGCAACTGAAGCGCACTGAACTGATGGGAATGCGGACCTTCGGTGGAAGCAGGGGAGGAGCCCCTGCCAAGCGTTTTACTCCCAGTTCCGGTCTCTCTTGATTCTCTAGTCTAAGCTCTAAAGGCTGTGAAGTTAGGGTACAAAGCTCCCCACAGACATGCTGGTAAGTATAACAGGAGTACAGGGAGCAGGAACCTGCTGGCTAAAACCATTCCTAGACTCATCAATGAGTAGGTGTGGACTCACCTCCCCCTCAAGGGCTTAATGAGAACCATGAATAGTCTATTAGCCAAATGAGAAGCTAGTTTTCTAAAGAGTATGGCATATGCAACCCCACAACTGCAAGGAGAGAAGAGCATCAGAACACAAAAGAACAAACATTTATTCAGCTGACATCAGAAATCTCCATACTCCATAACTGCCTCAACACAACTTGGGATGAGCCTGGATGTGGCCGCTGGAGCATTGAGAAGGGGGTTCCAAGACTGAGTTGCCCCAGGAGGATTTGTGTGGCAGAGGACGGGGACTGGGATCCACAGTGGGCAGCAGGGGACCTTCTGCCAACCCAGACAACTGAGTTAGAAGTGGACACGATGAGGCCTCCTCAGTCTCTCCTAACAATCACCACGTGGACTGGTTTGATAAAGTGTCAGGTCTAATGCTGTCGCACCGTTGATGATGTCTCTTCTTTGTTAGAGGATGCCCAGATGTAGATAAAGAATCATGAAGCATCACCTGGCAAGTTGCTGTCCATCCAGCTGGAATGGTTTCACCCACTCCTTCCCGGGAGGCAGAGCACAGCTAAGGGGTAGGCGTGGGTAATGCTGGTGCCTGGAACAGCAGGCTAGGAAACTTCCAGGGCTCCTTCCTTGCTGCCACTGTCTGTCATGTGGAGCTCCCCAGGGTCAGTGGGTCCCAAATGGAATTGAGGAAATGGCACTGAGTAGGAGTGCGAGGTCAGAGACTCAGAAACGGGGGGAACGTGGACCAGGGTGGTCACAGGGTCACTAGGATGCCCAGGGGCAACACAAGAGACAGCGACAGGATAAAGAACCCAGCTGAGGCACAAGAGGACACCTTAATGATGTGATCCATGATCCAGTCCTTGTACGAGCTAACTTCGGTATAAACTATAGGCAATTCACTGCGACCACAGGCAACGCCCCAACTCACAATCCCCACCTGGACCCAGGTGTCATTAAACTCACAGACCAGGGGACCCCCAGAATCTCCCTGGAGGAAAAAAAAAAAACAAGAATGGAAAGGGATCATCATCAAAAAAGGCTGATTTCTAGCAAGGCACTAGACCTTGCTAGTGTCACCAAGGTCCTTCCCCAGGTACCTAGCAGGCCCAGGTTTCCTTGAATGACATTTGAGAGCTGAATACTTTAACATCATCTGAGAAATACTACTGCTTCTCAGGTGCTCAGAAACCCACAGGTGCTATAAGGCCAGTAAGCCCTGGACATCAGTCCTGCCGAAATATACTCAAATTCTCCTTCAGTGCCTGTAACCCTCCCCTGCCCCTGCCCCTCTCCAAACCTCCCATTACCCAGCAACTAAAGGGGCATCCCCTAGCACTGTGAGTAGCTTCCAGAGCCCTTCTCGGGCTCTAAGGCCAGAATCTATTCCACTGGTCAGTCCTGGGCCTTCCCAGCTGTGAAATTCTCTCACTATCATTCCAGCAAGGGGGCTCCAGAGTCCTCACCTCTGGAGTCACCCAAACTTTCTCCCCGCCCTAAACCCACACATCCAACTACATCCTCTACCAGCGGCCCCTCTCTCCAAACACATCCAGGCTTGCTAAACCCCCAGCTGACACACACACTGCACACCCTTCCTCCACTCTGTTCTGGTAGACCCCTCACCAACCAGCTCATCATAAACCCAGAGTCCTCCTCAAGCGCTCCCTCACCCCCATCCTCACATGTAGTCGGTCACCACAAAGTGGTGACACAATCTCAAATGCAACCCCTTTACCCACCCCCACCAGCCCAGGTCCGCCTGGGGCTCAGCACCATTGCCCACACGATGAAAAACAAACTCCTGGCCCACAGGCCTGCCTGGACAGGACCAAGAAACAGCACAGCACCGCAGCCCACACATTCTGACTCCAGCCCCTACTCTGGCCACACTGGCCTCCTCATTGCTCCAGACCTGAAACCCATTCCCTAAACATGCCCAGTGCTTCAGACCTTGAGCCTCAGACTCACTGCTCCCTCTCCCACCAGTGATGTTCTCCTCTTGCCAGAATCCAGACCCTCATCCTCTGAGACCTGTCCCCTGTCCCCTGCTCAGGAAGGCTGCTCAGGGCAGAGGGGAGACTGTGGGTCCAGGGTTCCTACAGGCACTCCCAGGGGGACCTGGAATTTATGTCTCTGGAGGGCCCACATCTGTATAGTAAGATGTAGAAGTCTAGGTGGCAGGGTTGTGAGCTGGGAAACTGAGCTAACGTGGGTGAATGCTCACACTGGCACAGGAAATGCAAATAGAAAGAACTGTTACAGGAACTACATGATTATCATCACCCCCAACTTCACCACACCCTGGCAGCACCCCCAGGATGGGAGGGCTGCTCCCTTTTGGAGGAACAGGCCAGGCTTGCTAGAGGTGTCTTGAGGGGTTCTCCCCTGAATCTCCTTAAGTAAAGGCTGAAAGAGGAGGTAGGAAATAACCCAGGCCCTGCTATTGAGGAATGAGTAAACTGCACAGCCTCAATACAGAGATGACAAGGGACCCATCAACTCACCTTGCAGGGGCTTTTAAGATCTTCGTGATAGCCACAGATCATCCCTTTTCGAACTAACATGCGACGATATCCTAACTCTGTCTGCAATTTCGCATTACATAACGTGTGGCGAAGAAGGATTTGGTCAGTCTCCTGAAGATTTTCTGGCAGCACTATGGCTACAGAAAGACAACTCAGAAATAAAACGTTTGCTTGAGTAGAATAGAACAGGACCCCCAGGTCCCATTCTGGGTCTTTTTTGTTTGTTTGAGTTTTTTGGCTGCACTGTGCAACATGCAGGATCTTAACTCCCTAATCATGGATCAAACCTGTACCCCCTGGAGTGGAAGCATGGGGTCTTAACCACTGGACTGCAAGGAAGTCCCACATTCTGGGTCTTAATCAATACATTCACACTCCTTTCTTCTAACAGAAGGAAGGACAGTGGGTTTTGTCCCATTTGATACAAAAGGACCTGAGGCCAACTGCTGACATGGGGAGCAGACAAGGTAACAAGCAAAGCCAAGTCAGAAGGAGGAACATATCAGGACACAGAGACAAGGCTTCTTCCAAGTCCTGATACAAAAGCCAGTGTCACTCTGAGCATCAGCAGGAGCAGTGACAGGTGTCTGTACAGGGCAGGGTCACAGACTCCAGGACAGGCAGTGCCCACGGGTACCAACCCAGCCTCCTCCCACATAGGAGGCCTTACAGACTCACCAACAGGGCTGCTCTGGCTAGACCTGCATCCCAGGCACAAGAAGCTCCCTCCCCACCTGGCAGGTAATTCCAGGGCAGGACAGCTCTGACTGACAGATACCTCATCATACTGGAGCTGAAGTCCGCCCTGGAGAGAACCCACCATACCGGGACCCACACCCCCAGGTCTAACATAACAGGAATCCCTCCTGTACACTTCAGTCACTCCCAGGCAGCCTCCGCTCCACCTCCTCCCTTGCCCACCTGTAGAGAACCAGCCTCCCTGTCCCTCCCCTCAGCCTGCAGGCCAACCCCAGGGCACCAGACTTCCCCCTCAGATCCTGCCCTGCCAGTCTCACCGTCTGCCATCTGTCGGCCCCATCCAGTTACCCAGCACCGTGTCCCAGCTTCCGCTTCAAAATTCTTTTCAGGGAGACACACTGGCTGGATGAATGCAGAATAATTCACAGAGTGGGCCAGCAGAACAAGGGCAATGTCATTACTCAAAGTTCTAACATCATAAAAGCTATGGCAAACGATGTCTTGAACTGGAATGGCCATTCCCGATTGGGGATGTAACAACACGCTTCCCATCCGCACTGTGTATTCCTCAAAGCTGTGGAAAGAGAACATGCCCCTGACAGAGATGTTGGAGGGGCTACACTCCTCCCCCCAACGCCTTCCAGGTTCTTCTCATCCTGATCCCATCTCCTACAACAGCCATCAGGGCTTTCCAGGTTGCTCAGCGGTAAAGAATCTGCCTGCCAATGCAAGAGACATAAGAGACTCGGATTTGATCCCCAGGTCTGGAAGATCCCCTGGAGGACAGAGTGGATACCCACTCCGGTATGCTGGCCTGGGGAATCTACGGACAGATGAGTCTGTTAGGCTACAGTCCATAGGGCCACACAGAGTCGGATACGACTGAAGTGACTTAGCACACATGACAGCCTTTTTCTCCCTCTAAACCACATCCCCTTGCAGACCCCTAACCACTGGAGTCAGTGGTCTCCAACTGAGGTCCCACAGCCACTGGAGCAGAACCTGGGATCTTGGTAGAGATGCAAAACTCATGTAGCACTCACAGTGAACACAAACTAGGGGCTGTGGCCCCTTTTTCAGATGAAGAGGAGGAAAGGGGCAGGAATGGCTCCACTTCACACAGCCTGAGCAGCAGGCCAAGCCCAGGACCTAAAACACTCACCCAAATATGCAGTGCGCTGCAGTCAGGATCCACTGTGGGGCAATGAGGGAGCCTCCACACATATGTTCATTGTTGATCCGCAGGCTCACTTGCCAGGGCCACTTTCTCTCTGGGGCTGGCATCCCACCAATTATCCTCATTTTCCGATGGCCACATGCTCCTTGGCTCAGTAAAAAGAGGGGCTGGAGGTGAAGCTGCTGCCTCCCTTCTAATACCTCCACCACCACTATCTGCATCTGCGCCCCACCCCTCAACGCTTAGGTGGAGACAGGTCTCCCCTCAAACCCAGCAGGATAGTCACGCAGCCAGGAATGTGCTGCCTCTAGTTCCCAGGCGGGCCTGTGGAGCCCGGTGCAGAAAGCAGCAGTACCTCGTAGAAACCGCTCTCCAAAGCGAGGAGGGGTCTGCAGAACGGCCGCTGGGGGTGTAGGCAGCCCTGGAGCTGTTGGAACCTCCTCAGGTTTCAGGTGTTCCGGAGCCGAGGGGGCCTCTGCGACTGCGCGGCTCACGGCAGAATCCTCTCTGGGCCTGGCACCCTCACCTGAAAAAAGGAGCGGCCTGGAGTGCGGCCCGTCAGCACCGGCCTCTGCCCAGGGCACCATCCCCAGCTCCCGCTTCCGCCCCCCAGCCCTAGTCCAGCACTCAGCCGCAGCTGCCACGCATGCAGTGCAGCCTAGCCACCTCCAGTCCTTGCCGGCCCTGTCTCACAGAGCTGTGGCCGAAGGAACAAGAGCCAGACCAGAAGGCCTAGGGGGCCGCCGCGGGGGACTCCTGGAGACGCCATGGCCGCCTCCACCGCCTCCGGGCTCTGCGGCGCCCCCTTGTGGGGGCTACGCGCCTGCCCTCCTGTTGGAGGGAGCACAGAGCCAGGACCGGCGGCTTCAACATCTTCACTTTCTGCTGCTTCAGCCGTGCTTCTTCAGTCCAGACTGGTTGTGGTTTTAAGGCCCTTGAACTCGTAATTAAGTTCTCCACGTTAAAATAGAGATATCAGGAATTAGATGCCTCAGCGTGATCTAAACACTGGAGACTTAAAAAAAAAAGAAAAAGAAAAAAATGCGATCTGCCCAATGAAACATAAAAGAAAAACAAAAAGTATGATAAATAGAAAAACACAGGACAAAATGGCAGTTTCCAGCCCGAATATAATAGCATCTGCAATAAGCGTGAATGAGTTGAACATACCAAACAACATAACAACTTTCAAACTGGAGGAAAAGGCAAGATCCAGAAGTAGATCACTGAAGATAGAAATTTACACAAAGAGATACCGATACCTGGAAAATAGAGAGAAAGTGGAATGCCAGGACACAGTGGTGCAAAAGAAACAAAAAAAGCTGGGGTAACATTTTAACATTTGATTATTAAATGAGAGCATAAAGAGAAGACTGTGTAAGGGACAGAGGGAGTTAGATACATATGAAGATACATAAGAGGTGGGCTGCCGGGTTGGGTTGACCCAACTTAGGGTTTTCAGGAAACATGGAAGCGGCGGCGATAGTTGGAGTCTAAACCCTGTTGTGACGGTCTCCGAGCGCCCTGTGAGAGAAAAGGGGAGGATGCCACTGGAATCATCTTCCATTTCAATGCCGCTATCCTTCCCTTCTCCCTTAACCCCAGTACCAGTAAATATTTCTAACTCTTCTCCTCCCCCAATGTCTTACATCACTTCCCAGGAGATGAAGTGTATTCTTCACTGGTTTGCCTGCTGGTCAGGTCCTCAGCGTGACGTTTCTTTCGGGACCTGGTAGCTAAGGCAGTACCGGGAAAATTGCAGCCACTGCTGGAAAGTCTGGAGCAACTTGGTGTGTCGGGGCAAACCGACCACCCTGTATCTTTGAGTGCCAGCTACATCTTTGGGATCAGTGGTTTCGAAGTTGGGCTGAGCAGGAACGCAATGAATTTGTCAGGCAGCTGGAGGTCAGTGAGCCAGACTTTGTGGCAAAGTTTTACCAAGCAGTGGCTGCTACAGCTGGTAAAGAATGATATTAAAAATCAAAGAAAAAAAAAAGACAATAGCCAGAGCTAATGCAGCCATGGCCACAACTTTACCATGAGGACTTCAAATGTATCACTCAAAGATCTGGAGATGGTGTTCCGATCAGCTGCCTGAAACTACCCGACAAGCACAGGCCTGGTGATTTCAACAGCCTGTCAACTGGACTCCTGCTGTTAAGTGTCTTCCATCTGAGCAAATCCAGATCAGCAGCCTGCTTCCTAGCTTACTTCAAGAATTTAAAGACTTCCTTTGCAACTGTAACTGAAAGGAATCTATACCTTATAACTCAAATCTATCACCAGCCCGGCCTGTAGTGTATCAAGTAGAGCATTTGTACAAGGTCATGACCTAGCTGGACTTGAATGGCCAGTTTCACCATCATTACCAAATTCTGGCATAATTTTGTAACATCCCCACTACTAGCTTTCCTAGTGATGATTTAGTAAAATTATGGAAAAATCAGGAGACAGAAATAATTGTTCTCTGCCCTGATGTTTGTTGAATCCAAGTAGTAGTGACTTTTTTTCTAAAGTGTGGCATCTTTTGAACTGATAGCAGATGTTCCTATCTTGTAAGTTTGCTTTACAACAATATGAAAACAAGTAACATTCTTTATATGCTGAAGGGTTTATTTTTTTATATCAAAATAAAGAATGAATTTTCAGAAAAAAAAAAAAAGAAGATACATAAGAAAAAGCCTTTAAAAGGTGAAGCACAGGGGACCAATTATGGGAAACTGGAACGTTATAATTCCCTTGTGATTTCCCTTTTAAAGGATGGCCATTCACTAAGGTTTTGACTTTGTTTCAGAAATATGGGATTTTTTAAAATTGATTTTAATATTATTGATCTGTGGCTCATGAACAGAATGTGTATCACACAGATTCCCTGAGATTACTGATTTTCCATAAGCTCTCTTAAAAATTTATTTAACTGTGCTGTGTTTAGTTGTGGCACACATGATCTTTTTAGCTGCAAAAGGTAGGATCTAGTTCCTGACCAGGGAACAAACACAGGCTCCCCTCCCGCCCCACTCCCCCCCACATTGGGAATGCAGAATCTTAACATTGGACCACCAGGGAAGTCCCTCCTTAGGTTTTTATTCTGCAAGTTCCCTGAGCATTCAATAAGAATAAGTGTTCTCTGTCGGTAGTTGTAAAATTCTTCATAGCACTGTTAGCTCTAGATGACAAATTGTGAGAGGCAACTCCTCTGTGTTTTTGCTTAATTTTGCCTACATAACTTGTCACCTTCCCAAGAGGAGCATATAAGAAGCTCGTTTGCACTGCCTAACACATCATACTTGTAACCAAGTACACAGGCTCCTCACCTCCCACTTTTTAGAGAGTAATGGATGCCATGAAAACTCCCCCAGTTAAATGGGAAACTAGTTTCCTAATATGCTATATGTAACACCACAAACTTCAGGAGAGCACAGCTTTAGAACATACAAGAGACTCTCCAAACATTTATTAGTTTCATACCTGAAATTTCCACTCTCCTAAATGCTGAGTGGTGAGTGCAGATGTCGCCACTGCAGCACTGGGAAGGTGGTTCCAAGACTGAGCTGACCCACGAGGGTTTGTGTGGCTCAGAGCCTGCACACTCACAGAGTGATCTGCACTGGGAAGTGGGGGACCTTCTCCCAACCCAACTGAGTCAGAGATGGAAATGACGAGGCCTCCTCCCTCCCAACAGTCATCAGGTGGACTGGTTTGATAAAGTGTCAGGTCTGACACTGCTTCACCGGCGACAATGGAAAAATGTTCTCCAAGACTCGTGCAGCATCCTGACGCATCACTGGGCACGTCACTGTCCATCCAGCTGGGATGGTTTCACCCAGTCCTTCCTGGCAAGCAGACCATGGCCTACAGATAGGCCTGGATGAGGCAGGTTCCTGGAGCACCAGGCAGGTACAGTTTCAGTCTCCACTTGCTGCCACTCTGTCTTGTGGATCTCCACAGGATCAGTGGATCCCAAATGGATTTGAGGACAGGGTATTGAGTAGGAGTGGGATCTCAGAGGCAGGGCTAATGTGAGACTCAGAAACAGGAATGGCAGGGGCCAGGGTGATCACAGGGTTGCCAGGATGCCCAGAGGCAGCAACAGACACAGTAGTAGAATAAGAAATCCAGAGTCCAGACCCGATGCTCGACTCATTCTTAAAATGATCCAATATCTGTGTACACTGCAGGCACTTCTTTCAAACCACAGCGATCACCCCAGCTCACAATCCCCACCTGGACCCATGATCTATGAAACTGACAGACCAGGGGACCCCAGAATCTCCCTGGAGGAAAAAAAAGAAACAAAGAAAAGAATGGAGGGGACAATCATCATACCAGGTTGGCAACTAGGAAAGTACTGGGGAGACAGGCACCAAGGTCCTTGCCCAGGCCCAGGTTTCTGGGAATGAGATTTGAGAGCTGAACACTTTACCATCATCTGAGAAATACTGCTCCATCCCAGGTGCTCAGGAACCCACAGGAGCTATAAGGCCAGTAAGCCCTGGAAATTGGTCCTGCAGGGATATACTCAAGTTATCATCATCACCCCCACTTTGCTGCACCCTGGCAGCACCCCCAGGATGGGAGGGCTGCTCCCTATTGGAGGAACAGGCCAGGCCAGCTCGCAGATGTCTTGAGGGATTCTCTACTGAATCTCCTAAAGCAAAGGCTGAAAAACAAGGTGGGAGGTAACCCAGGCCCTGCTACTAGGGAATGAGGAAACTTTCAAGGGACAATCTCAATACAGAGGTGGCAAGGGACCCATCAACTCACCTTACAGGGACCTTCGCTCTTTATGTTCTGGGCACAGACCATCCCTTTTTGAACCTGATCGTCTGATTTATTTGATGTTTTCTCGACCATCTCAGCATACTGCTTTAGGGAAATAATGAGTTGCTCAGCTTCCTGAAGTTTAGGTGACATTGAAGTTGGGTCTAAGAGACAATTCAGGAGTAAGAGAATCTGCATGAGTGGAACAGGGCAGGGTCATTCAGATCCCATAGTGGGTCTTGATCAGGACATTCACACTCCTTCCCTCTTAGAGAAGGAAGGACAGTGGGTTCTGTTCCATTTGACACAGAAGGACCTGAGGCCAACTGCTGACATGGGGAGCAGACGAGGAAAGAAGCAAAGCCAAGTCAGGAGGAGGAACGTATCAGGACACAAAGAGACAAGGCTTCTTCCAAGGCCTGATACAAAAGCAGGTGTCGCCACTCTGAGTATCAGCAATAGCAGGGACAGGTGTCTGTACAGGGCAGGGTCACAGACTCTGGGACAGGCAGTGCCCACAGGTACCAACCCAGCCTCCTGCCAGGACTGCTCTGGCTAGACCTGCATCCCAGGCACAAGAAGCTCCCTCCCCACCTGGCAGGTAATTCCAGAGCAGGATAGCTCTGACTGGCAGACAGCTCATCATACTGGAGCTGAAGTCCGCCCTGGAGAGGACCCACCATACCGGGACCCACGCCCCCAGGTCTAACGTAACAGGAGGAATCCCTCCTGTACACTTCAGTCACTCCCAGGCAGCCTCCTCTCCACCTCCTCCCTTGCCCACCTGTAGATAACCAGCCTCCCTGTCCCTCCCCTGCAGGCCAACCCCAGGGCACCTGACGTCCCCCCTCAGATCCTGCCAGCCAGTCTCACCAAATTCTAAAGTTCGGCCCCATCCAGTTATCCAGCACTGTGTCCCAGGTCTCACTTCAAAATTCTTCTCAGGGAGAGACACTGGCTGGATACATGCAGAATAATTCACAGAGTGGGCCAGCTGAAGAAGGGCAATGTCATTAGGGGTAAGGTTCCAATCAAAATCCTTATGTGAACTGATGTGTTTAACTGGAACATCCACTGTAGTTTTGCAGCGTGAATATGTGGCTCCCATCTTCACCGTAAGTTTTCGATAGCTGGTGGGAAGACAATATGCCCTCACAGAGATGTTGAAGGGTCAACACGCCCCTCCACCCCTTCCAGGTTCTTCCCAGACTGTTCCCATCTCCTATACCAGCCATCAGCCTTTTTCTCCCTGTAAACCACATCCCCTCCTCACCCCTAACCACTGGAGTCAGTGATTCTCCCAGTGAGGTCCCAGGACCACAGAGTAGCACCCGGAATCTTGTCACAAATGCAAGACTCATGTTTCACTCACAGTGAACACACATTAGGAGCTATGGCTTCATTATCAGGTAAAGAAAGGAAAGCTCAGGCAGTGGGATGTGAACGGCTCGGTCTCCTGTAACCCAAGCCACAGGTCAAGCCCACCGCACCAGATACTGTTCTACACAGTGAGCTGCCGTCAGCACCCACTGTGGGGCAATAAGGGAACCTCGGCATCTGTGGCGATCGTTGAACTGCAGGCTGACCTGCCAGGGCCACTTTCTTTCTGGGGCAGGCTTTCCAGCAATTATCCCCAAAATCCGATGGCCACAGGCTCCTTGGCTCAGTAAAGGGGACTAGAGTGAAGCTGCTGTCTCCATTCCACCTTGTCCATCACCTCCACTTCCTCCACCACCTCCAACACCACTTCCAAGTCCACCTCCACCACCCGTGCCTCCCAAAGCAGAGCCAGGCTTCCTCTCCAATTATCCAGAGTGGTATAACCCTGCAACCACCCCACCCCTACTCCCCCACCCTTGGCCAGGACATGATCCCGGTTGGCCTCCAAGCGCAAGTACAGCCCCATACAGGGGCAGTACCTAGAGGGGGCAGCCCTTCCAATACGGGGGTCTGGCTGGACCCCACGTCTCCTTCCCTGCGGGTGTGGGTGGCACAGGAGCAACGGTGGGTACTGGAACCTGCAGGGATTTCAGGTGCCCTGAAGCTGATGATGCCTCTGGGGTTGCCCTGGCTCATTGCACAATTCCCCTTGGGTCTGGCACCCTCACCTGGGAACATGAGAGTCCAGTTAGAAAAGCAGCTGGCCGCGGCAAGGACCCTCATCACCGGCTTCTTCCCAGGAAACCGTCTCATCTCCAAACCCAAATTCCTAACCCCCACCCGGGAATCCCACCTCCCAGTCCCCAGTACCTACCCACGCCCCCTGTGAGCAACCCCCACCCTCAGCACCGCGCAGGCAGACTAGCCCATCCCGTCCAATCCCTGCCTGCCATGGTCTCCCTGAGGTGGGGCCAAAGAACCAGGAGCCGGACCAGGAAGCCCAGGGAGCCTCCGCCCCTGCGGGCGTCGCTCAGCGAAGCCATGGGCACCTCTAACCGCCTCCGCGCTCTGCGGCGCCCCCTCGCGGCATCTCCGCACCTGGCCTCCGGTTGCCAGGAGCACAGAGCTAGGGCCAAACCCCAAGGCTGCTCCTCCAATATCTTCACTTCCTTCTTCCTCAGCCATGCGCATTAATCTATTCTGGTTGTGTTCTTAAGGCCCTTGACTTATGATTAATTTTCCATCTTAAAGGAGAGATATTCTGGGTTAGATACCTTAGCGTGATCTAAACACAGGAGCCCTTTAAAAAAAAAAAAAGAAAAGAAAAACAAACACACAAATGCAATCTGTCCAATGAAACGTAGAAGAAAATAAAAAGAAACAAGGTAAATAGAAAGTGCGGAACAGATGGCAGTTTTGAGCCTGAATATAGTAGCATCTGCAATAAGGGTGAATGAGTTGAACATACCAGACAACATAACTTTCAAATGGAAGGAAAAGCCAAGGTCCAGAAATAGACTCTCTGAAGAGACAAACTTACACAAAGAGATACACACACGTGGGAAATAAAGGAATAGAAAGGGAAATGCCAGGTCACACTGGTGCAAAACAAACAAAAGCTGATATAGCAATATGGTCATTAGATCATAGCATTTAAAGCAAAAATGATACAAGGGACACAGGGCGTTATGTACAGTAAGACCAAGACATAAAGGATAGGATACAATGACAGCCTTTAAAACGGAAAGCAAATGGGACCAATTTACGGGAAACAGGGACTTCTTATACACTCCTTTTAGGAAGCTGACAATTTACATAGGCAAAATTAGCAAAAATATAGACTACTTGACTCTCATAAATCATCATCTAGACCTAACCCTATGATGAATTTTACAACTACTGAGAGAGAACGCTCTTACTTAACACATAGGGAACTTTAAGAATCAAGGCCCTAAGGAGAATCAATAATCTCAAGGAACCAATGTGATACACATTCTCTTCATGAGCCACACATCAATAACATTAAAACAACTTTAAAAAATACTCTATTCCTGAAAAAAAAAAAAGCAAAAACTCTAGATAAAGGTGCAGCTTTAAAAATTAGGAAATCATGAAGGAAATTTGACATTTTAGAGATCAATGCCAATGAAAGCATTACCTATGAAATTGTATATGATACAGCCACAGTGAACTTCCAGATGGTCAAGCTGGATTTAGAAAAGGCAGAGGAACCAGAGATCAAATTGCCAACATCTGTTGGATCATAGAAAAAGCAAGAGAATTCCAGAAAAACATCTACTTCTGCTTCATTGACTACACTAAAGCCTTTGGCTGTGTAGATCACAACAAACTGTGGAACATTCTTAAAGAGATGGGAAAACCAGACCACCTTACCACCTTACCCTACTTATTTCTTACTCCTTGAGAAATTTGTATGCAGGTCAAGAAGCAACAGTTAGAACCGGACATGGAACAACAGACTGGTTCCAAATTGTGAAAGGAGTAAGTCAAGGCTATATATTGTCACCCTGCTTACTTAACTTATATGCAGAGTACATCATGCAAAATGCCAGACTGGATGAAGCACAAGCTAGAATCAAGACTGCCGGGAGAAATATGAATAACCTCAGATACGCAAATGATACCACCCTTATGGCAGAAAGTGTAGAGAAACTAGAGTCTCTTGATGAAAATGAAAGAGGAGAGTGAAAAAACTGGCTTAAAACTCAACATTCAAAAAATGAATATCATGGCATCTGGTCCCATTACTTCATGGTAAACAGAGAAACAATGGAAACAGTGATAGACTTTATTTTCTTGGGCTCCAAAATACTGCAGATGGTGACTGTGGCCATGAAATTAAAAGATGCTTGCTCCTTGGAAGAAAGGCTATGACCAACCTAGACAGCATATTAAAAAGCAGAGACATGTCTTTGCCAACAAAGATCCATCTAGTCAAAGCTATGGTTTTTCCAGTAGTTGTGTATGGATTTGAGAGTTGGACTATAAAGAAAGCTGAAGAATTGATGCTTTTGAACCATGGTGTTGGAGAAGGCTCTTGAGAGTCCCTTGGACTGCAAGGAGATCCAACCAGTCCATCCTAAAGGAGATCAGTCCTGAATATTCATTGCAGGAACTGATGCTGAAGCTGAAACTCCCGAGATCAGTGAAGGCATCCCCTTGAATGCTGGGCTGGGAAGCTACCTGAAGCCAGACAAACAACCTCTTGAGAAAATTCAAATCAGAATGCCTGCAGGCCACAGGGGACCAAGAATAGTGCCTGGTCCATCTGCCAGACTGGAAATACTCAAGAGTCACAGAACATTCCCTAGGGTATTTAGGAAGGTCTTGCCTCAGCAACAGGGAATAGTCTCTACACTGAGAATCGCTCCAGGCCTGCTAAAAAAGGTAAAAACAAGACCTGAGAACATCAGTTTCCAAGAAATTTGACTGCATCCCAAAATAAAGTCCAAGAATATTTCTAAGAAAATATCAAACACCATTGTAAAGGTCACAGTGTCTGGTATCTGATCACCTAAAACCCACATTCAAGAAGCCACCTATCATGGGATTAATCAAACAATCATAATTAACCCAGAACTGACACAAATGTTAAATGCACAGGCAAAAACAGTAGCACAACCACTAGAACTGAGTCCTACATATACAATTAAACTTTAGGTAGACATGCTGAAGATGTAAAAGGACTCCAATTAGACTCTAGATATGAAAATTTGCAGGTATAAGATGAAAAATGTACACTGATGATGGGTTTAATACTATAATAAACGGTTAGAAGAACTGATTGGGCAACTCAAAGATGGACAATTTTATTAAAAACAATTTAATAATGAAACACTGATATGAGAGCATAAAATGCATTGTAAGCTGGGGACAAATACATGTGTGACTGAACTTCCAAAGTATAGCAGGGCAGAAGGATCAAAAGTAGTCAAAGAAATAATGCTACATATTTTCCAATCTGGTAAGAACCATAACTCCAGAGAGCTTACAACATGCTCCCTGAACACGAAAAAAACATAAAAACAGTGGAAGCAATGTCCTTCAATTGAAGTCACTGAAGATGTTGCTGGGCATTCTTGTTTCAGCTCTCATATGGTAAAGAGATGTCCGAATCCTGGACTACTCAGTGCCATATTTTTGCATTTCTGTGCTATTGGCTGGTGATGTCACTGTTTGAAAAGGCCCTGCCCTTACGGCTGGAGTGCTGTCAGCGCCCCTGAGGGCTCCAGCCTGGGAGCCCTGCAGAGAAAACACATGGATCAGGTCACCTCCACACAGGTATGAACCACACCGCTGCTGGCCACGAATTCAAAGGCACTTAATCAACAGAGTGTATTAAATAAAGTGCTTTTAAGCAAAAAGAAACATAAAATAAGATTGCCTTTTTATCACTTAGTGAAAATGTTGTGATCAGTGGTTCCCAGGAGTCTAATCCTGCATTTGCCTGAGAAGCAACTCTTCAGAGGTGGCTAATTCAGTGCTCAGAGCTGCTTCATAGAACATATCACCACAAGAAACCTGACGATTTTGGCCATGAGGTCTTAGGGTGGTTTGTCCCCCAGCAATGTGTAACTAAACACTTAGCAAAAATCAGATTGTCCTACCCTGGCCTGGCCAAGGGTCCTAGATCAGTCCCCTGGAAACACACTTTGAGACAGATCTGTATGCCAGGGTTTGTTGACGAGTGCTCTGGGGAGGATTCACACCTGGAAGGGAGCAAGTGAGGCAGAACTGGGCAATAGGAGAAGCTTAGCAGTAATGGCATTGCAACTGAGGTCTCAGCTGATCCTCAAGATACCCTTCCAAGTTGTCCTAAAAGGAGGCAAGGAGGCTGGGCCTTCACATTCCTGCTTGACACACATTTCACATGGGCTACCTGCTGTGAAAACGTGTCATCTTGAGTGAAGCTCCCTCACTTGCCAGTGAGGGAGCTATAACCGTATTCACAGATGCTGAAGAACAGGTGTGACTTAGCAGAAATGCCACACTTCACCACTGAGCTCCTGAGTCCTTTGGACATGATCCTAAGATCCTTGTCATTTGGAGACCTTGCTCACCATCTGGTGTGACAGGATATTTCAGGGTGAATACACACTTCCTGGCCCACTCCTGAACATTACTCAAGCCATTTCTCCTAGAAGCCCTGGTTTCTGTGGGTAGAAAATCATTATTTCAAACCACAATTTGGGCATTAGAAACAAATATCGGTATGCCTCACTACTCCTTATGACTGGAAACCTGCAGCATTTTGTATTGGGTATTGTGTCCTTATCCTTTGAAATCCAATATTTTTACTAGAACTCATTTCCTACCTGTCAATTCCTCCTCTTCCTGTGCTATCTAGCTCTTTCAGTTCAGTTCAGTATAGTTGCTCGGTCGTGCCCAACTCTTTGCAACCCCATGGACTGCAGCACGCCAGGCTTTCCTGTCCTTCACCAACTCCTGGAGCTTGCTCAAACTCATGTCCATCAAGTTGGTGATGCCATCCAACCATCTCATCTTCTCTCCTCCCCTTCTCCTCCTGCCTTCAATCTTTCCCAGTATCAAGGTCTTTTCCAGGGAGTCAATTCTTTGCATCAGGGGGCCAAAGTATTAGAGTTTCAGGTTCAGCACCAGTCCTTCCAATGAATATTCAGGACTGATTTCCTTTAGGATGGACTAGTTGGATCTGCTTGCAGTGCAAGGGACTCTCAAGAGTCTTCTCCAACACCACAGTTCAAAAGCATCAATTCTTTGGTGCTCGGCTTTCTTTATAGTCCAACTCTCACATCCATACATGACTACTGGAAAAACCATAGCTCTGACTCAACAGACCACTGTTGGCAAATTACTGCCTCTGCTCTTTAATATGCTGTCTAAGTTGGTCATAGCTTTTCTTCCAAGGAGCAAGCTCTTTCAGAAGGTGGTTCTATCCAGTCCCCAACCCCTGACCTAAGGGTCATCCTAATGACCACCTCTTCCCTCCCACCTGAGCCCCACATCTTATTTCTGCTCAGAGCCTACTCCCTGATTCACAACAGAAAGTCCGTGTATATTTGCCAGAAAGGGTAAAAATGACTCCCATTACACTGGAAGTTGCTGCTCTCATTTCTGAGAGGCCATGCCTGACGTTTCTAGGACCTAGAGGCTGATGCTCAGTATCGGAGTTACTTGAAATGAAATCCCGTGCCCACCACAGGAAGAACATTCTACTATCAGCAAACAAAGTGCACGCACACTGAGGCTGTAGACTTCCCAGGGCTCGGGACTTCTCCTCCAGCAGGGGCTGTAACAGCTGCTTCCCATGTGGGATCTTCCCTCTTTGAAAAGACAACCGGGGAAGGAAAAGGGGGCAGAGCAATGAGCTGAGAGGCCCTGAGAGAAAGGAGTAAGGTGACAGAGGAGACGTCAGTATTCACTTTCCATTCACTCACTCACTCACATTGCTCCATCTGAAACCTGGAGCTGGAAGGCAGAAGACTGACGAGGAAGACACAGAGTCTCTTAAGCTTGGGCACAAAATGTCCCCCAGAGGAAACCAGAGGGAACCTGCCCAGGGCCACCAGAGTCAGGGGAGCCCAGGAGAAACCACATTTCACAGCCCAGGGTCGTCCACAGGAGACACTCTGGGGAGGACTCAGTGCTCATACTGAGTCTCAGCCAATGTGGAGGCAGAGAACAGGAAATGAGGAGCCACACTGACATCCCCAGCAACAGAACATCACTGGAAAGAACAGGGGAGCTTGTTCTGAAAGAAAGCTGCATGTGAGAATGGTATGGAACAGCCAGACTCAGGCCTCCGAGTCTGCTCGATTGTTCATTTCTGCAAATAACCGTACTAGAATATAACTGTGTGTACCTGGTCACGTCGGACTCTCTGCAACCCAATGGGCTGTAGCTGCCAGGCTCCTCTGTCCATGGGATTTCCCAGGCAAGAATACTGGAGTGGGTTGCCATTTCCTACTCCAGGGGAATCTTCCCAACCCATGATCTGACCTGCGTCTCCTGCACCGGCAGGCGGATTCTTTAGCAATGAGACACCTGGGAAGCCCAGGGTTCCCCTGAGGTCCACTTATATCTGGAAGCTTGAACACAGACCAAGGAAGGATGGGTGGACAGGAGGCAGAGCCTGGGGAAAGATCAGCAGCCAGTCCAGGTGACTACGGGCCCCTAGGTCTGCTGATTGAGACGCCGCACACACGCACACAGAGCCAGACCCTCCATCCTAAGCCTGTGAGGACTCAGCTCTCTGCGTTCAAGGTGTCCTGTCACCAGGACCACAGGGTCTCCTCCAGGCATGTCCCTTACGGGGCAGCAGGAGAGGTACAAGGCTGTGTGAGTGGGTCAGGCCCTCATCTCTGCCTTCCTGCCTCCAGGCTCCCATCCAACCTCAGCTCCAACAGCCCCACTTGGAGCGATGCCGACGCCTACAAGAGGAGCACTAATGCCTAAAAGAGGCCGCTGGACCCACTGCCTAAGACACCATCAGACTTCCATCCAGGTAGACAGGCTCCTCATCTCCCATTTTCTAGAGAGTAATGGACACCATGAAAGGTCCCTCAGCTAAATGGGAAACTAGTTCTCTATAGCATGTTATATGCAACCCCACAACCTTCAGAAGAGCAGAGCTTCACAACACATAAGAGACTCTAAGCATTTATTGAGTTTGAGTTGACATCAGAAATCTCCACCCTCCTTGATGTCTCAACACAACTTGGGGTGAGCCTGGATGTGGCCACTGGAGCTCTGGGAAGGGGGTTCCAAGACTGAGTTGCCCCAGGAAGGCTTGTGTGGCAGAAGCTGGACCCTCACAGATGGATCCACATCGGGAAGCAGGGGACCTTTCACCAACCCAGACTACTGAGTCACATGTGGACGTGGTGAGGCCTCGCTCTATCCCAACAATCACCATGTTTACTGATGTGATAAAATGTCAGATAATGCTGCTGCTAGGGATGATGTGAAGATGTTGTCCTAGATTCATGAAGCATCACCTGGCAGGTCACTGTCCATCCAGCTGGGATTGTTTCAGCCACTCCTCAGCAGGCTAGCACAACCCAGGTTTATTTGGAAGTGGTATTTTCCTGGAGCAGCAGGCTGGGGAACTTTCAAGGCTTCTTGCTTTCATTTCTCAGTCATGTGGAGCTCCACACGGCCAGTGGATTCCAAATGAAAGTGAGGACAGGGATTGAGGAGTCAGAGGTCAGAGGCAGTGCTAGTCCAAGACTCAGAAACTGGAAGAAACATGACCAGGGTGATCATGGGGTCAGCAGGATGCTCCAAGGCAGCACCAGACACAGAGTCAGGCTGAGGTAGCCCGTTGAATATGTATGAGAGGCCTGACTCACTCTAGCAATGAGCCAATCCTTGTAGAAACTCACTTCTGTATAAACTCCTGGATACCCGCTGCGACCACAGCCAATGCCCCAGCTCACGATCCCCACTTGGACCCATGAATTATTAAATTCGCAGACCAGGGGACCCCCAGAATCTCCCTAGATAAAGAGAAAGAAACAAACACAGTGATGGAAGAGGACAACATCATAACAGCCTAGTCGCACTGCAAGGCACTGGGAGGATGGACGTGCATGGGGCTCCCCAGGCACCACAAGGCTCCCCCAGCCCCAGGTTTCCATGTGTATGAGATCTGAGAATTGATAACATTTACCAAAGTTGTGTATGTCATCAATAAAGTCTATACCAAAAACTGAATAGTCTCAAAGAAAATGTATGTACTCTGAGATATTAATAATGAATGAAATCCTTACCTGTTTACATTGCCTGTCATTTAGAAGAGGTTATAACACGTGACTTGTATTATCGGTATTTCATGCCTGAATCTCCCCTCCCCCACCCCGTCTCCCTCTAGGCAGCATCAGGTCCTCTCTACTGAAGCATCAGGTCAGACCAGCCCAGCAGAGACTTGGTGGCTTGTCCCCTTAAACCCTCAACTTGAAGACAGGCGAGAGAGGCACTGCCAGATCATGTACGTCCTACCGCCCGTGGATCAGGAACGTCTAGGGGGACAACCAAAACGCAAAAGCAGAAAAGAGCCCACGAACTCACCTGGCAGGCATCCTTTCCACTGGTGCTGGTGCCACAGACAGTCCCCTCCTTGACCATATTTAAGTGACTTTCCATCTTTTCTTTGAGCATCTCATTACAAGCCTCATAGCGAAGAATGCTTAGCTCAGCCTCCTGAAGTTGTTCTGGAGAATCTGGTGATGTGTCTGTAGAGAGAATTTAGGAGTAGTTTATATCTGCCTAGTGTGACAAGACAGGTGCCCCCAATACCCACTCTGGGTCTCAATACAGTGTGTTCACATACAGACACCCTCTTAGGGGCAGTGGATATTGTTCCCGTTTGACACTACAGGACGTGACACCCAGAACTGACATGGTGAGAGGGGTGGTAAGAATCAAAATCAAGACAGGCAGAGAAGAACTGATAGAGGCAACCTGAGAAGTCAAAACTAAATATCTGTCACTCTGAGCATCGTTAGTAATAGCAACAGGTGTCCTGTCCATCAGTAAAGTATTTTTAGTTTAGAGCAGGATCAGACTCTCGAGATACATAGTGTCCCGAGAGTACCAAATCCACCCTCTCCCCAGGGATAGAAGTCTCTACAGTTTCTTCCAGAGGCATTCAATGGCCTCTTCTCAGTCACAGGAAGCTCCCTGTCCACCATGACAAGTACTTCCAGTTGGGACAGTTCAGATTAGCAGACAGATCAACATCCCCTGAGTTTAAAAATCCACCCTGTAGAGAACCCACTTTGCTTGTCGCTCAAGCCCCCAGGTCCTGACATACTAACAAAAATTTGTAATGCCATCAGATCACTCCCACCAGCATCTTCTCCACCCTCCTCCCTTACTTACTTGCTAGAAAATTGCCTCCCTGTCTCTCCCTTTAGCTTGGAGGCCCACACCTGGGCACCAGGCAGCCCCTTCCCTAGCCCAAGTTTGCTGCCATCTTGCTTCACAGTCTCACCTTTTTCCCTTAGTTTTCCCCATCCAGTCACCCAGCACTCTGTACCAGCTTGGACCATGAAAGCCTTTTCAGGGAGGCACACGGGTTGGATACTCGCGGAGAAATTCACAGGGAAGGCAAGCAGAGCAAGGGCAATGTCATTTTCGATCACTCCGACAGGATTAAAATATTTGTGGATAACGATGTCTCGGACTGGGACCGTGACTGCCATTGGGGAGGTGTGCGGCAAATGTATGTCTCCCATCTTCACGGTGTATTCCACGTGGCTGCAGAGAGATCCAGGAAGCTCTACACTCCCACATCTTCTAGGCTCCCAGCCTGGTCCTATCTCCAAAGCCGCTCATCAGTCTCCTCCCTCCCTCCAGACCACATCCCTTCCCAGACCCCTGAACCAGTGGTTCTCAAAGTTTGGTCCCCAGATGAGCAGCACTGACATCACATGGGGGCTTGGTAGAAACACAAATTCTTAGGTCCCACTCCTGACCTACTGAATCAGAAACTCTGGAGTTGGAGACACACAGTTATTGTTTTAACAAGTTCTGTGGGTGTACCCATGCTCATTAAAGTTTGAAACCACTGAAAGTAAAGCCAAATTGATCAGCTACAGTCCACTCCCCTTAATATTTCCTCTTGCAAGTCTTTGCACACATATTGTTTCCCAACTGGCATCTCTCCCCACTTCTTGCCACTTGACTTGAAGGCTAATCAGCATAGGCTTTAAAAAAAAAAAGTAGCTTTGAACCTGATTTGGGGTTTTGACTTTCCAGCCTATCCAGGGCCCTAACATTACTACTTCTGACTATAGCCTGAAGAGCTATAGTCAGGGACTGTAACCCCTGTTCAGAGGAGGAAGAGGAAGCTCAGGAAGGGGTTAGGATAGGCTCCAGGCCACAGAGCCTGACCTGAAGCCAAAAGCCCAGAGCCCCCAAAACTCACCCAAATATGCAATGGGCCGCGGTCAACACCCACTGACGGGCAACGAGGGAGCCCCCGCATATGTGTTTTTGATGGATCTGCAGACTGACCTGCCACGGCCACTTCTTCTCTGCGGCTGGCCTTCCACCAGTCACCCTCGAAGTCCGACGGCCACACGCTAGAGCAGGTCAATGAAGGGAGAGGACTGAACGTAAAGCCATTGATACCCCCGCTACTAGAGCCTGATGAGCCTCTTAAGTCTCAGAACCCTCCAAACAACGCCATGTCCCCTCCGAGCCCCAGGTCGGGTCTGTATTCCCCTAAGACTCCTCTGAGAACGCCATGTCCTCTCAGCTCTCGGGAGCAGAGTTGGGTCCGCTCAAATAGCCCAGGGAAAATTTGTGCCCCCTGAAAGTCTCCTCCCCCAGGGCAGGGGCACCTGCCCCTCACACGGGCTAGTTCTCTGCCACGGGGCTTGGCTAGGAAACATCACCTGAAGGAAAGGCGGGTTTTTTGGTCACTCCTGGGGCCTGTGGGGGTGTCACATCCTTGTATGAGTCAGAGTCACTTAAGGTAAACGCCACGAAATTGGGGGCTACCGAAGTCATACGGGACTCAGGGGCCCCGGAAGTTCCCGGGGCTCCTGGAGGAGGCAGCTTCCAACGGCGTGCTCCGGGGTCCTTGCGGCTGCCTCCCGAGGTAGGTGGAGAGGGTGAGGGCAGAGCTGACCTGCCCAGCGCCCCCTCCCCGCCCACCAGGGCCTCACTGAGCCAAGGTTGAAGGGCCAGGAGCCAGACCAGGAGGCCCAGCGAGCCGCTGCCGCTCTGGAAGACACCCGGAGACGCCATGGCACCTCTGGTAGTCGCCTCCAGGCTCTGCGGCGCCCCCTCGCGGCGGCTGCACGCCTGCCCTCCTGATGGCGGGGAAACAGGGCTCCTTGCGGGGAAACCCATCCGGCCCCGCCCCACCTGTGGGGTTACCAGCGGGGCGGGGCCTGGGCCGAGCATGGCCACGGAGTTGTGACTCAGGCGAGTTCTTTCTCTTCGCCGGCTCTGAGCGGACTCTTTAATGAGTGACTCCCAGATGCCTGACATCCCCTGGCCAAGGTCCCTGGCCACAGAGAGTGGCAGCCATGCCACTGCCGCACAGAGATGCATCCATCACTCCCTGTAGGGCTGAATTAGGCCTTTCCTGGCATTTCCCACCCCTTCCTGCTGGCAGTAAAAATTTTAATTCCTCAATATAAACGCTGCACTGAACGTTAGCAACACTGAGTTAGGCATGATACTGATCTCTTTCTAAAAATCGACATCCACATGAAAAGAGCCACTGTTAAAATGCAAATTAAAATCACAGTGAGATATCCCTACACATCTAATAGACTGGCTAAACTTTGAAAATTGTGACAACACCAAATACTGACATGGATGCAGATATGCTGGACCACTCATACACCGTGGTAGGAATGTAAAATATTCCAGCCACTTTAGGAAACAGATCGGCAGTTTCTTATAAAACAGAATGAACCGGTACCATATGACTCAGTAATTGCACTCCTGGGCATTTATCCCAGTGAAGTAAAGATTTATGTACACACTCATACAGGCACAAACACACAAATACTTTTACAAATGTTTATAGTGGCTAAATTCATGGTAGCCAACATATGGAGACAAACTTGTAGGAGATAGAACAATGGCTTCCCAAAGAAACTCCCATTCTAATCACTGGAACTTGTGACTATATTACCTTACATGGTAAAAAGAATGTGATGAAATTTAAAACTCTTGAGAAAAGAAGATTAACCTAGACTGCATACATGAAAGTGGCCACGATGCTTTGCGGTTCCTCTTGTCAGGAGACAAAATCAGGGGCTTCCTTAGTGACTCAGTGGTAAAGAGTCTGCCTGCCAATGCAGGAGACATGGGATTGATCCCTGATCTGGGAAGATCTCGCATGACGTGAGCAGCCAAGCTGTGTGTCTCAACTACTGAGTCTGTGCTCTGGAGCCTGGAAGCTGCAACTACTGAGCTCACATGCTGCAGCTACTGAAGTCTGCGAGTCCTAGAGCCCATGCTCTGCGACCAGAGAAGCCACTGCAATGAAACACCCATGCGCTGTGACTAGACAGTAGCTCCTGCTTGCCACAACAAGAGAAGAGCCCACACAGCAACGGAGACTCAACACAGCCAGCCAGAAATAAAGAAATAAAATAATTTTTTTAAATGACTAGGAAGAGAACTCAACCGTTTTTTTAAAAAGAGAGAGGCAAAGTCAGACTGTGATAGACGCAGCCACGTCACTTGGTCTGTGTGCTGTGGTGTGCTCAGTCGCTTCAGGCATGTCCGATTCTTTGCTATCTGACGGACTGCACCCTCCCAGGCTCCTCTGTCCATGGGATTCTCCGGGCAAGAATAATGGAGTGGGGAGCCATCTCCTCCTCCAGGGGATCTTCCCAACCCAGGGATCAAACCCACGTCTCTTAAGTCTCCTGCATTGGCAAGAGGGCTCTTTACTACCAGCACCACCTGGGAAGCCCCACTTGGTCTATCAGTTCAGACGCTCAGTCATGTCCGACTCTTTGCAACCCCATGGACACAAGGCTTCCCTGTCCATCACTAACTCCGGAGTTTGCTCAGACTCATGTCCATTGAGTTGGTGATGCCATCCAACCATCTCATCCTCTGTTGTCCCCTTCTCCTCCTGTCTTCAATCTTGCCCAGCATCAGGATCTTTTCCAGTGAGTCAGTTCTTCACATCAAGTGGCCAAAGTATTAGTCTATATGACCTGGCAAATCCTATGGTGCTAGAGTTTGCTGTGGTGAATTAAAATGCTTGTAAGAAGTCTTTGCTATGTCCTAATTAGAGAGTCACAGTATAGATCCCTACAGTTCTGAAGCAAGACCACACTCTCTGCTGCAAAGAAACTATATTCTTTGAAAAGCAACTTCTGGCACACTACTGAATCCTAAAAAGAAACTAAATGCCAGACCACAGGACGTTATGTGACTAAGAGACCAGTGCCTCCTACCATAAGGTGAATATTTAGCCAAACTAAGTCATAAACTCAGTTGGAAAAAGCAATTCATCACTCGTTGGAAGCCATATATTTGGGATTAGATCATGGCAGCTCTTGAAGACACAAGTAAGCGGTGCAAAGAAAAGGCATAGACACCACCATCCCCCATCATGGCACTTAGCTGTATTGAACTGAAGCTGCTCTGTGGGTTCACACCCATAGCCTGATAGGCAGTATCCTATGACCAATTGATGAAAGAAGAAAAAACCTGGGCCTGGTTCACAGATGAGCTCAAAATCTTGGTGCCAGCTGAAAAGAGACAGCTGTGGCACTAAACCTCATTGAGTAGTTACATATACACATGTATATTCCTTATATAGCTAGCATTGCCTGCTGATAATGCCTTTGCTGACATCAGTATCAGTGGACTCATGAAATGTGTAACTTACCATCATGGAATCCTGAGTAACATCACCTGACATATTGGGGCCTGCTTTTTGATCAGGAAGGTACCAAGTAGGTACATGATTGATTAAAGGATCACTGGAACAATCATAAACTTCATTATATAGAAGTTAGAGGATTGATCAAATATTGGAATGGCCTCTGTATTAGTTTTCTCTGTTCTGTAACAAATACAAATTCAATGGCTTAAAACACATTTACTACACATTTACTATCTTACAGTTCCTGTGGCCCAGGAGTCCAGGCACAGTTTACCTGGGTCTTCTGTAAGGCTACAATCAAGGTGTCAGCCAGGGCCATGTTCTCATCCACCAGGAGACTCGACTGGAGAACAGTTTCCTTCCAAGTTCAATCAGTTGTTGCCTCAATTTGTTTTCTGTTGCTGTGGGACTCATGGCAGCTTGCTTTTTCAAAGCTAGCCAGGGAGAGAAAGACACACAGAATGAGTCCTCAGCAAGATAAGAGTTTTACATATTGCAACATAATGTTAAGGGTGACAGCCCACTCCTGAAATCAATCAATCCAGGTTTCACTTTTCAAATGTCCTTGATGCGGAAGTAAAAATGATTAATTTTATTAAGTAGTGACCTTTCACTCCACATTTATTTAAAATTTTGGGTAATGAAGTGACAATTATGCACAAAGCACTTCTGCTGTATAAAAAAGTAGGATGTTCACTCAAGCAAACTGTACATCTGTTAAGCTGAATTGTCAGCTTTTATCATGGAATATCAGTTTTACTTAAAAGAGTAACTAATAAATTGTGGTAATTTAGACTTGCATATTTGACAGACATATGCTTAAGAATAAAGTTTTTTTAAAGACGCTGCAACTTTTAAGAAAATAACTGACAGTATTTGTTGCCAATGATAAGATTTGAGCTTAGAGATGAAAATTTTTGGAAAATTTATATTTGCTGTCATGAGTTCAACAACTTTCCAATAATTAAATACTTTTCTGACAACAGTAGTGGTAACATGAGTTAGTGTGATTTTTTTATATTATGTAATGAAATGTGTCTACACTTGGGAATTCTACATAACAAAGTGAACCAATATTTTTCAATGATTTACAATATTATGCATAGTTTCAAAAGATCCATTAGAAGTGAAAGATAGACTTCTGAAGTTCAGTATATCTTCATATCCTTACTTATCATCTGTGTCTTCTTTCTATAAAATGTTTGCTCATAACATCTACTCAGTTTTACATTTGAGCTGATATTAAAGTACTTTCTCTTTAGTTTTTTTATATGTGTCCTAATCCTTTGTTGGAGTGTTGGTGTTGAAGAAGACTTTTGAGAGTTCCTTGCACTGCAAGGAGATCCAACCAATCCATCCTAAAGAAAATCAGTCCTGAATATTCATTGGAAGGACTGATGCTGAAGCTGAAGCTCCAATACTTCAGCCACCTGATGCAAAGAACTGACTTACTGGAAAAGACCCTGATGCTGGCAAAGATTGAAGGCAGAAGGAGAAGAGGACAATAGAGGATGAGATGGTTGGATGGCATCACCAACTCGATGGACATGAGTTTGTGCAAGCTCCAGGAGACAGTGATGGACAGGGAAGTCTGGCGTGCTGCAATCCATGGGGTCTCAAAGAGTCAGACACAACTGAGCGACTGAACTGAATCCTTTGTTAGTAATGTGTATTTCAACTATCATTCATAATCATGATTTGTCTTTTCACTTGATTACATGTTTTGATGAACAAAAGTTATTTAGCTGTAATGCAGTCAGAAGTAACCATCTTTTTCTTTATCATTAATGCTTTTGGGGTCTTATTTTTAAAAGCCTTCCACACCCTGGGGTTTTAAAGGTACTGTCCTATATTTTCTTCTAAAAGTTTTAAACTTTTGTTTCTCATGTTTAGTCTTTTGTCCATGTAGTTATTAAGAGTAGTATGAGATGGCTATTCAGTTTCATTTTCTTCTACTTAACCATGTCTCCTAACACTATGTATTGAATGGCCTACTATGCCCCCATCCATCAACAATGTCACCTCTTTTATATATATACATGTCAAAAGATACTGAGTCTGTTTCTGGCCTCTCTAGTCTTTCCATCGTTCAATTTACCTGTCTCTGTGCCAGTACTATGGCTTCTTGACCACCAGAGCTTTTGCGCATCAACATAAGAGAGAATGCATTCTCCTACCTCAACTTCTTCATTAGGGTTTTGGCTACTCTTGGTACTCCATACAAGTTTTTAAAATAAGTTTGACAGTTATTTAAACTGTTGAACATTCTATTTGAATTGCATTAAATCTAAAGACCATTTTGGAGAGAACTGCCATATTCATGGTATTACCCTTTCCTATTCATGAACTTGGGGTAGCTCTCCTATTTAGATCTTCCTTCACATCTTTTAATAAAATTTCATAAATGTTCCCATAAAGTCATGGACATCTTTCAGAAATGCAATTTTATGTTATTCTTTTATTTAATAATGCTATCAAATTACTTTACCAGTTTGGAAAGTTTGTAGATTTTGGTGGGTTTCTATATTGACAACCAGGTCATGTACAAATAATTATATTTTTTCTGTAATGAACATGTTCTCTTTGCTCTTCAGGAACATTCTCTCATTCTGTTTTGGTTAGTCCTGTC